AAAATGCATGGCTCTTAGGTAATGTTGTGGCACACGTAAGCAATCAAGGTTTAATCCAACAGCATGACGGGTGGTCCTAAAAAAAAGTATTTAGACAAAGGCAGAAATTTCGGAGAGCCAGAGAGAGTCATCATGTATCGCAATGACAGCTTTATTAGCACTTTTTCTGAAATCACCAAAGCCACAGGTGCACAGTGGAGAAACAGCGATGGAAGCCAGTGTGATTATCCCTGAGTGGTGAGTGTAGGATGAGGACTGGAGTCGGTTCTCACAGCAGGGGCCCAGGACGTTATAGGCGGTCCCTGTATCCCTGGTTAACAGGCTACAGAGAGGCAGCCATTATCAACCCGCCTCCACAGAAATGAGGGGGAGGGAGAAAAAAGACAGCAATTTTATTCTTCTGAAATTTAATTATATCAAGATTAACAAGGGAGGTAATTAATTTCTTTAAGATGGTATCTGTTAAGTGCCCCAGGCTTAACTTTGTTGTCAAAACTGTATATTTAACCATTATTCCAGGGCAAAGTTTTAAAGGCAATGGGGTGGCTCACTATTTTTTGACCATGAATGTAAAGGAGGGTCTCATTCATCTCATTCAAATAATGAGATGAAAGGATTAACAATGATTTTTAAGTGTCCAAATAACCAAAAATATTATTTAATCAAATAAAGTAAATTAAATATTATATAATAGGCTTTTGGCAACAAGGATAAACATATTTTTAAAAAGTAAGGAGTTTATAGTGAGTAGATATATGTTTGTGGGTTCAATAGTATTAATTGTTTTCACATTGTTTTATGATAGGTAATGTACAAAGAGTCTAGTATAGACGTTATTGTATATTTTTATCTGTTTATTTTTATCATGTCTATGAGACAATAAACATGGTTGGGTTTATGCTAATTATTGTGCATTTTGAATATACTTGAACCCAAGACCATAAAAACAACCCTTAGTGAGAATCCCTGTGCTGTGTAGAGTAGGGAAGGGAAAGTTGGCCAAGTGCACTCAGTTAAAGCTCTAAGAACACATGGCACTGGGCCAAAGAGCCCCTGTAACCATTCTGAAGACTCCTCTGTCTTGTGTGTCCTCCCTGGATCTACACCATCGCCTTGAGAGCTCAAGTCAAACTAATATTACAATCTTCTTGACATTACGAAACTAAGAGCAGCCTCTGCGTGCCCTTATTAATCATATTTATGAAGTATTGAAAGAAGCAGGACTCACACACGAATAAATATGCCTCATTATAAATCCATATGAGTTATGCTAACAACCCACTGCAATCCCTCAGTGGTTAAAGCATGGACTAAAGGACTTTGTGTGGTTAAGGATAAAATTGGATCTCCATGTTGAATAAAACAGGAAGGTTAAATGATGCTGTCCTTTCTATAGATTCCTATTCCCATTATGTGCATACATAAGATTGTATAAAGTCAAAGTTTGCTTTTGAGTTCTGAGAATTCTGTGCTGTTTCCCAGATAAAAAAAAATTGCTGCAACAAACTAAATTTTTGTATACATCATTGTACTGTATATCATTTTGTTACATTGTAATATAGAGGTTATGCAGATCACAGTCTTGCTTCTGATAGAATACTCCAGGGCAGCTGTGGCAACAATAGTAGCTTATATGTATGAGTATGTCGTGAATGAATAATCTATCTAATAATGTTAGGCGCTTCTGAACATCCAAAAAAGACCTATATAAAACATAAAGACACAAAGTACAATTATACATGCAGTCAAGCTTAAACAGGCATGTCAATAGACTGAGTAGTTTAACACTATTAAAATACTGGTTGGAAGGAGGAGCAACTCTTTACAATACTGCCCTTTTGCAGAGCGTTCATCTGGCCTTAACCAAACAGCCTGGTGTGCCCTAGTCCTCTGAGTCTTCAAAACCCTTCCAGCTCCGGAACACTTGTGCTTCACTAACTTCCTGTTTGTATGGTTGAAGACCTGACCACTTTAGTCCAAGGCTGCACACAAGGAGGGACAGAGGAGGAGGCGAGAGATAGAACTGAGGATAGAGGGGAGGTTGGCGGGGAGAAGGCGAGAAGGGAGAGACACTGAACACTCTCGAGTTGGGATTGATTTACTTCATTAACCGAGATTACAAGTTTAACTTACAAACCAGAGGTCAAAATTTCTCATTAACAAGGGGACCGTGGAGAACCTCGGGGCTTGGAGACCACTCTTATTACTGACTACACATTTCAATCTGTCTTTGATGTTCTATGTCTGCCTTTCTACCCCCTCGTTCCCCCTCCTATTTTTTGGCAGCGAGGTTGATTTTAATTGTAGCTATAGAACAGAGCATAGTTTGCCTGTAAGCCAGCCTCCACATCTGTAGTGAGTGCAGCTTTAGTGATATTGGGTGCAGTCCATAGCTCGGGGCTAATTTTAATGGTCCCCCCTCCTCCTCCTTCATTGGAGACTCAGATTGTTTTCCACGTGATTCCTGTTAATTTCGCTGGAGGAAAGGGCATCAGTTTTCCTTGTGCTTTTCTCCCCTCTCACTCTATTGCCTCACTCCTTCTTTCTGATCTACAGCCTCAAAGAAAGAAGGTGAAATGAATTCAAATGGAAAAATAGACTGTGCGCACTATTAAATCGCTTGCCTACCTTTATCCCTCGAACTGCGCCTGGAAGAAAAAGATAGGAGAAAAACTCCAAGGTGGTTCGAACCCGGCAATTCAGCTTCCATTGTCGCCTGTACGTCAACAAACAAAGCTCTTGCTTTGATGTGATATATGGCCTAAGTGCCGCAGTGATAACTGCGAGCTTATAAATGTGTCAAGGATGTTTCAAACCTCTGTTTTACACCACAGGACATTAGACATCTCTAAGCCTCGTAGTGTGGGAAAGTGTCTCAAACACAGCAGACATGGCACTGAGGCAGGACACACTGTAACAATACGATCATAACGACAGATCATAACATAAGCTCAATAATGTGCTGCAATGAAAGAAAAAGTGTGAAAAGTCTAATATAGTCTGATTTTATTTTTACTGTGAAAGGTTTTAAGTTGCATTGTTTTGCTCTACTTCATTGTAGAGCAAAACAAATACATTGCAAACAGTGTGAAAGTATATATTGCTATAGAGGCAGTGTATGATAGTGATGGCCAGTGGTTAGAGGTTGTCTGGTTGTCTGAAGAAAGGCTTGACCCGAAATGTCACAAAAACAAAAATTTGGGAGCTTCAAAAAACTGCAGAGTAGGTCTGTTTCTTCTTTTGCACAGTTTTTGTCTTTGGATCCAGCACGCAGTCAGAACTTTTATTGGATGTGCATGTCTCTGTCTATCAGTGGTTAGAGGTCCTGACAGAGACTGGTTACTGGATGGTTGGATCTACTGCTCTATGAGGAGGGAGCCCCTTAAGACCTCAGTGTTTCCTTTTCACTGAGTAGAACAGACCGGAGACAGACTGGTATCAGTTTCAAAGCCTGTGGCCATACAGGTACATACCCAAGCCCAGCCAAGTGCAGGGGCAACTGGGTTTGAGAGAACTGAGTGAAATTGTCACCTGAATTCCATTAGAGTTCCAACACACAGAGGAAAGGTGGGCTGATTAGTAACTAAACCAAATGAAGAAGAAATAGGGAGGAGTGATTTCACTGGGACTCTGCTTATGTGGGATCCCAGCATGGCCATTATCTGGCTCCTAATTTGAGCTTTGGCAAAGTACTGAAGGGCTGCCTTTGTTTGGGATTAATGCGGAAAGCTCAGGATGCGATGTCAGAGGGAAATAATCAGCGTGGGCCCTCATAACGTTGGCTGCTTGTGCTTCTGGCCAGGGCCCCCGGCTCATTTCAGTGGAGATGAAATCTATGACAAGCCCCTCAGTGAAGCTAAGAGCAGGCAACAGTCCAGTAACACCCACAGGCCTGCAGGCATCCTGTGACCCCCTTAGAAAAGTCACATTCACTTTGCTCTGGAGAAGGGAAAGAGAACGCCGCCGGCACTTCCAGCCCATGTGAAATGAAGAAATGTGAGGAGGTGAAAACCAAGTGAAAATAAGTTAAGATTCCTCCTCCGCCCTCCACAACCACACTAGAGGGGGGTGGTGTGACTTCAATTCATTATGGCCCTCTAATCAACATGAATGCAGCATTAAAAAGGGGACAAAGGGGGAAGAATATACTAGAATAATGTTTATACATGTTTACATCAGGCACCTCAGTTTGAGAAAGCATTGTTAGAAAATGCGTAAGGTAGGATTATTGCCCATCAGGCTAAACCATTCTGAAAGAGGCAGGCACTGTACTCAAGGACCAGAAGTAATGCTTTTATTTTGTTATTTATGCTTTTTACCAGCTCCATTGCTATGCTTCTCTACAGCATATTGCTGCTAGGCAAAGGATGAGAGGATGCAGCTCAATAAGCAGGTTATTAAAATGACCAATTGGCATTCAAAATTCAGTTTGATTTAACATTCATCATGTTTACAGATGAATGTGAATGCTATGATGTCCAAGGGGAAAAATTACTTAAAGACTTTGGTTATGTGTGTATGAAATATAATGCTTAAGTCACTACATGTTGAGTAGGAGCAGATCCTCTGCAACAGTTCAGTTTAATTAGGAGCAGATGAGGCAAGTCACAGTTGAGTATGTCACTGTTCTCTGTCCAAATCCCACTCCCAAATGCAAGTGCATGCTGCTTTATTGTCAGGGACAGTAAAATATAGAAACACAAGCCAATCAATTGGTTGGCTGATTCAGCGTATCAGTAACTGGCTTCTAGCATAGCCCAATATTTTGTTTTGGGCTAACTGATATTGGTTGCTTGGGATATGAAACATGGCTGGTATGAGTACCAGCCAAAAAAACATATTGGTCGATCTCTACCAATGATGGAATTATTCAGGGAACCAACAGTGCAGTTACTTCAAATAATATACACTTAATTTTCTGGATAAATTAAAGACTTATCTGACTTCCTCCTTGGGAAGACCATTTAGAAAGTGTGAAATTTCTGAGAGGTTAACATTACCTCTGTCCCTGATGGTGTGCTCCCAGGTGAGTCTAGCTTCCGTTTCTTACGTGGACCAATGGCTGCTAGGGCTGTAAGGTTAGCATCTCGCTGTCTCATCTGCGCTAGTTCCTGCTGTTGCATCTGTGAAAAGAAAGAGACAAGACATTTTCTTTACTAACACAACAGACAATAGCACAGTGGATACTATACTATACTATTCCATATAGCCTCAGAGTAAGGAACATTTACGGCATTTATAACTATGTAAATTTTGTTGTCCCTGAACTAGCTATAAGTGCTGAGGTGAGCATTCCTAATATCATTATGAGATACCAGCAGTGCTAGTAAGAAATGTATACTCCCAAAACTTAACCTACCCCAGGTTAAATTTTGGCAGTATACATCTCTTACTAGCAAGGTCCAATAATGTAACAACACTATTACTCATATTGTTAATGTTAATGAATATTATCATAATACATATACACTATAAAATATATATTTGAGAGTGAGGAATAATGGACAGGAGAAAATGTTAAGAAATCTGTTAGAAATTGGTAACCTGCTTTAAATCATTAACACAAATCAGAAAGCATGTACATGTGAGAGAAGGGATCACGTCATATGGCTTCATTGCCAATTACTTTTTGCAATTGATGCTGTATAAAAGGGGGAGGTTGGGGGAGGCACTGCCCAAAGTAATGTCATGTCTAGCTGCAGGGCTGGGGGGGAGGCCTGCGACGCTAAGAGCTGCCCTTTCTATTGGCTGGACGTGTGACAGCCCGGGGCCATGGCACAGAGGGTGTCAGCACTCTCTCCAACATGCACACACAGTGCACACTATCAATCTTGGCCACAGCACAGGGAATGTCTACCCACCAGCCAGCCTGCGTGACTGCCTGCTGGGGGAGAGAGGCCCGGATTGAAGCAAACAGGGACAATCGATGGGCGCTTTCATGTCTTTCATGTTCTTTTATGTTAGCGCACAGCATGTGCTCTGTGGGTGCTGCTGTTTGTGTGAGGCATGCATGTTGTCTGATCAGGAGAAAATTTCATGTTACTTTCAGATGGCACTCTGTAAAAGGTTGCTTTGGTGTACAAAGTCTAATCTAAAAAGTGCATGCAGTTGCCTCTGATTTTTTCTGAAAAGCCCACTGGCAAGGCATGCCCTTTAGGGTGTTGCCACTTCACATTTAGCATGGCGGAGCTGTTGAAAGATTCAAACACATTGACAACACAAAGAAGAGAAAATAATACAGTAGAAGAGCAAACCAGAAGAATACACTACATTTTAATTCATAGTTTAAAATACTAGGCAATAATAATAATAATAATAATAATGGGTTTAAGTCTGGGGTTTCTTCACAGTACAAGTAATTAATAGAATTAGATTTTATGTACAGTGGCCAAAGGAAACTAACTTCATTATTAGTCCAGTCAAAGAGCAACATGTATAGGAAACATGTATGGGTTCACAGATAAAAAAAGATTTCTCTAGGCCTTCCCTTGAAGAAATAAACTGACAGAAAGTGCAGTGGGGCAGATAGGACCACTGTCTCTCTGATGGCACCAGGATGCCGGCATCTCTGCCTGGCAGTTGGCACCAGACATGGGCTTCCAATGCCCAAAGCTACTGCCTGCATTCTCAGATTTATGACTATAAGATAAATTAAGTCTTCATTGTACCATCTGCAGACCTTCCACATTTCCCGACCGTAAGGAAGCCACCATGACACGGAGGACTGATTTTTTTGTGCCATTCTGATACCATTATTTTTCAATCTACCTTTGTTTTATTGCTCACAGGAGACAAATGCTGCTTTAGCCAAAAGAGCTGTTTGTGCTTCTAGGACAGTAGCAGTGAGCAGACTAGTGTGACAACAATCAAAATGAGACATTTTGAACAATTACCATTACAAATATCAAAAATGCTAAGAATACAGCCACCAATGTGGCACAGACAGGCAAACAATTCGTTCACATATTTTGCTATTTATCAAAATTTGAAACAAGGTAATATTGTGTAGTAAAGGTCAGTAATCATGAAGCAGCTGGAAAAAATAAGTTGTAAAGCGCATATATTTGCCAGGTTGGATCAATCAAAGATGTGTGCAACTCAAGTCACTTAAATCACATTGTTTACAGCCTGAATGGCCTTTAAGAAATGGACATAGTAACTCCAATTATCAGCAAAGGTCAGGTAATGTATGAAATAAGTATAAAAGTGAAATTAATACCAAATCCCAATAGTTTCTTTGTAATTTAAAAGCAAGAAAGGAACTTTGCAATTATAATAATAATTATTATTATCACTGAAACTTATTCAGAAGAACATGTCATGGATTTCTGCAGGAACTTAAATCTACCTTCTGCCTTTTCAGCACAGTTGCTGTCACTTTATCAAAGTCCTATTAGAAGTTATGTGTTTTTGTCTCATCACAAAGAAACAAACATTTGTGCCTAGAAGATTAGGGTATTTTAACTTGGACCTCACCAAACTCAAGTGGTCAGATAAAGATTTATCTGACACTGTCAGTCTTTTGGGTGTTATAGAGAAAGCACAGAGTTGCAGTAAATGTACTGTAAATAAATCAGGCTATTAAGGTCCAGTTCATGTCCATCTCTCAACAGACAACTTTCAGATAGGTAATTCCTTGTATATTTTCATTAACTCATACACTCTCCACTGCATTCCAGTCACTGTGTCCATAAAATCCTTTGAGATCCCATGGACAATTTCCAACTTTGAAAATTCCCAGCATTTTGCAAACCTATTTGACATCTTGACACTGTAACTGCAACAATGTCTGTCAGAACCTAAACAGATAACAGGGCTTTGTTGCAATAAGATGAGCAGCACAGTAAATGCCCTACTATGATGCAAAGATGTCCAAAGTGTGGAAATCACTTCAGTGTAGTCATGAGGAGCAACCTGCCATTCTCAAATCTTAAACCCCCCCCCCCCCCCCCCAGTGGCTGGAGGGGTTGCTTGCGGACGTCCAGACGCTTACAGACAGATGTCCTTGGTAGAGCAGAACATGCTCTGCTTGACGTCAGAACGGCTCAAGGGCTGTGAAGGAAGCTAAAGGCTTTGGTCCCTACAAAGACCAAAGTACAAAAGCCAGACTGTGGGTTTGGAGTGGGTCTTACACCCCTCCTCCACCCAGCTCTGGTCCAACAGGGCACAGCAGGGAGCATCTCGCTATACACACATAACATATGCCACTTCTGGTCAATGCTGTTTCATTCACCAAATAGCCCTAATGCATACATATTATGATGCTTTCACCAGCAGGCGTCTAATCTCTGATAATAGCCCTGCACTAACTTCATTCCACACTCGACATTCATCTACAATGCAAGCAAAATTGTACATTGTATAGCAATGATCACATCAGAACCAAATGCAATAAATGCTATCTATCCTCTTGTAGATTTAGACTGTTGAAAAAAATCTTGAATTTTATATTTTTGATATTTTTATATAGTTGTTCTCTAATACAATCATAAATCAAGATGGTTGCAACAGGGATTTGTTCAAAAACATGTCAGTCAATCAGATCAATCATCTATCAGCTAAAAAAGTAACGTTTCTATCATGAATTGTTTTTGGACCACCCCAAATATCTTTAGAAATGTAGTTGGATTGGTTGGTATATTTGAAACATATCAGTGTAATTTAAATGCAGTGTGTTAAGACGCTATAAGGTTTAAAGGTGCAGCTTGTGAAACTCCAACTGTTAAAAAGTCCAACTGTTAACCTCAAACAACAAGCCTGTAAAACTAAATGTATAAGCAAAACTCTACGAACACTCTTGAGTGCAAGTGGACATCCCAGGTTAGACAGTAACTTCACCTTCTTTTCAACAGTATCTATACAATGGTGTGTTTTAAAAATTAGGGACAGTTTACTTACTCTATGTGATAGTATTTGCATTTTGTTATTGCATGGATCTCATTCACCTGACACCCACATGGCCAACATTACATGAACATCTGCTAGCTACATCTTGGGGCTTTCTTTATGTGAATTGCCTGGCAGTTAGTTTGCTGCAGGGAGAAGACCATTTGCAACAACCAATCAGCTTTCTATTCTCCATCTGCACTTGAACGGTAAAGAGTCCAGCTCAGCCTCTTTGTACTAACGACTGACAAAGCCTCAGTATGGCCTTACTTTCAAAGTAAACTATGTGTTATATTTACATAAAATTTGACTGCATATGATTATCTTAGGCATGGAATGCAAATTTACTGTGTGGCTAATGTGATTTTTTGCTCCATTATACATCCACAAATTAAATAAATTAAAGTAATTTTTATTGTTCCCTAAAAGTCATACAAAATAATGTGCTTAACTGGTTTCTTGATTATATTTTGTATAATGCATTGTATTGTGCGGGTTTGGCCTCATACTGCTTCCTTTCCTCTGAAGCTCTATGTGTCAGAAGTTTGCAGGGACAAGGACCAATTATTTAGAGCTGTGAGCTGTGCCCACAGCTAAGGCCATTATGTGAGAGTCACTACCACAACCTCACACTTCCTTTTCATCTACAAGATATCTGCAAAATATCTGCGAAAATGTATGTAACATAAAATTAAAAAGGTTTGAAAATGTATGTTTTGTACATATACACTATTTGCACTCTCTGATATTGCAGACAGAATCAGCAAAAAGCATATACTGTCAGGGTTCCACCAGAGTGACAAGTGTTAGAGGTGATCATTAAAAATACTGCTTATCTAAGGAAAATCTCCTACTTTAAATGTTCTCCCACTTTGTCTCATTCTCTGCTACCATGCTTCGTCTAGCACTCTTCTCTCTCCCGTCTCTTTTCTTTTTGAGATTTAGATTCGCTGCTCGTCACCTTCTATTGATCACGTCTAATTTGCATCCAGGAAAAGATGAGAACTCAGATATTCACACTTGGAGAGAGGACGGTCTCAATGATTTATTCATTTGCAAATCAAAAAAGCAAGTGAAAAGAAGGTAGATGAGAAGGAGAATCTTCATAGGCAGCAGGCGACTGGCGAGCTCTGAGGCTGGGCTCTTCTTGCCTCCACCACCCTCAGGCACATGGTGTGCAAGTCTTCCTAATTAACAAGGTGAATCATGCTGCCGCTCTCTAATTAGCCAACATGAC